TGTCCTATTTTCTCTCCATTCTCCTAATTCTAATTCAGGCCTTCCATAATTCCTCTGTCTTGCATATTTTATGATAAGCACTGCAATAATTAGAGACAATGTGCCAAGTGGCTATAAGAAAAACATCTCCTTACTTTGAATAACATTGCTGTAATCAGAGTGACACAAGATGGGGCTAAGAATATAGATCATTTCCAGAAGGAAGGACTGCTTAAATGTTTATATGATGTCTGTACAAGTTATCAGACACAAAGGAAATGAACTAAAGCTTGAAAGATGTTTGCCATGTCTCTTCTTAAGGATACATTACAGAAAATCAAAACACATTTGTAACTCTCATTGGCAAATATAGCACAGGTGGTTTTTGCTTTGATTACTGTTCACATCAGAATAATCAGAATATTATAGTTGGGAACAATATGAAGGAATAAATTTTCTAGAAAGAACAGAGAAAAGATGCTGGAGAATACATAACAAAGGGAGGAATCTAGAACCAGAGAAGACTCAAAAGAACTTTAAACTTTTGTTAAATGAATAAGTAAGGGAAAACCTAAAGATTTTAGATTTAACCCCAAAGGTGATGCAAAACCTTTGATAACCTTCTAGGAATTTCCTGGAGTGGCATGAGGAAAAAACAGAAATCATTTTCCAATATGCTCAGTAAGGGAAGTGATTACCTGGCTTCTAGGCCCATTTTCAGCTCGTGGGTGGCTCCAGGCAGTCAAAATAAGTCTGTATTTACCTGTAAAATAAAAGTAATTATTCTTACCTACTTCACAGTGCTATTGTAAATATAAATGATATCACCTGAAATGGCTTTAGAAATTATTAAGCGTTTTGCAGTTGTCAGAAGTTTATTTTGTTTTTATTTTTAGGAATTAAGGAGATTCCTCATTAACAAAAGGTACTTTTTTCCTAAATAATGCAGAGTTGTGCTATAAGGCAAACATCTAGATGCCATCACAACTACTTGGGGAAAGACCCTGTCGGATATGTTATGACTCCTGCTGCTCAGAAAAGGTGCACAGTTTCCAGTGGTCTCTTTAGAGCCTGAACAAGTGTGATTATATTCAAGAAACTGAAAGCAGACCAAAGTGGCATTAATGGTAGTCTAAAATTGTAGTCTAGCCCCAATAATTATTTTGAGAAAAAAATACCTCTTCTTCTACCTCTTTCTTCTACCTCTGTTCTCTACCCATATGCACCCCAGAGTTCCAGACATGACTGAAGTATCATTCTCTAAAAGGTACAAGGTACTGAGCCCACAACACTGACCACCATAGTATTAACTTCAGTGGTCAGCTGGCCCATTTCTTCCTATTTGTCTCCCTCAGATACTCAGGAAGACAGCCAAACAATTACTCAGAATGGATGCATGTGGAAAATGGCCTCACATCATTTCACTAGCTGTGAACATAGGCATGTACATAAAGCATAGAAAATATGCCTTTTAATGCTGGATTAAATTTGACATCACCCCACCCCCGGCCATGAGTGAAATGGTAAAAATCCATCCTGGTTACATTCAGATCCTCTTATTGTCTCTTCTTGGTTCTGAATCACCCGCTACTAGAACCTCTTCCATGGTCCTGGCTGATCTGAATGATCAGAACATTCGCAACCCTTCCATCAGAGCTTCAGCACCATTCCCTGCAGCTGGGTAGCTGTAAACCAGCTCTACCACCACACACACACCAGACAGATCACGGCTAATAAGAGAAAGACCCAGACAACTCAAGTGCCATTTGTAAGACATGCTGAAGATATAATTCATGTCCCTTCTGACCTTTGCTGATGTCTTAGGAAGGTACATTGCTCCAGACTCAAGCTTTGGTTCCCATTTCTGGTTCTGACTCTATCCACTGGACTGGAAGATTCATCTTGGTTTCTTCAGGTTCGCTCCATGATCTTTGGCTTATTAATACCATCTGCTTTTTTCTGCCATTCATTTGAAATTCCTGTGGCGGGGGAAGCTGTGGGAGTATTTAAAAGCAAAAGAAAATTAACAATAACAACTCATCAACCTGAGTTTAACTTGGATCTCAGTATCAGTGGAGAAGACCTTACTGTTTACATCTGCCCTGACCTTGAGCTACTCTAATCCACTCTATTGTCCAGCACCAAGGCAAGGGGTTGGTGGGGGCATCCTACTGAAAGGGAACCTCAGAGGGAAACTTTAATGCTGTGAAAACCTCTCAGCAAACTATTTCTCAAGTAAGTCTCAGTTTCACAAGGTAAACCCGAATAAAAGAATTTAGGCACTATTTACATCAAATCCGCAGTCATGGACAACAGTTTCTCAAAATATAAACTTTAAATATAGGTGTCATTCAATTATTATTCAGCTCTTCTGGTATTGTTTATATTAGCTAATGTACAAATGTGGGCCATTCAGAAAACAAATGAGGTTTATTCTCTTTTCATTTATCTTCTGTAAAATACTTGGTATAGTTCCTTAGTTGTCCCAAATTAAACATTTTCTGTCTTTCTTTCTTCTGCACTGCATAGGCTTAGAATGAGTCCTAGTTTTTTTCAGGGGGGTTTAATTTTCTTTTTCTACACCATATGTCTCACCCCGGGCTTTGCATTCCTTATCTTACTTCATCCTCATGCTAATTGCATGAAATAAGAATTATAATTCCTGTGTTAAGAGCTGTTAGGTGACTTGTCTAGTGTCACACAGCTGGCAAGTGGTCAAAGCAGTATTTGAACCCTGATCCTTTTAAAGTCAGCTCTCTTTTTTTCATTATACTATTTCAATTTGATGAGAAGGAAATTCTGCCTCAGAAAAAAAGAGTTTTCACGGTATAAAGAAATGAGATATTAGCCCTGGCTGGCGTAGCTCAGTGGATTGAGCGCAGGCTGGGAACTAAAGTGTCCCAGGTTCGATTCCCAGCCAGGGCACATTCCTGGGTTGCAGGCCATAACCCCCAGCAACCGCACATTGATGTTTCTCTCTCTTTCTCTCTCTCTCCCCCCTCCCGTCCCCCTTCCCTCCCTAAAAAAAATGGATGAATAAAATCTTTTTAAAAAATGAGATATTAAACTAGGAAATGACATGAAATCACCTTAAATGTATATTGCTAAGTGAAAGAAGTCAATCAGATAAGAGTCCATACTGTATTGTCCAACTAGATGGCACTCTACAAAAGGCTAAACTGTGGAGACAGGTAAAGATCAGTGGTTGCGAGAGATCAGGGAAAAGGCAGAGCATGGAGGGTTTCTAGGGCAGTGAAACTATTCTGTGTGACGTATATCATTATGCATTTGTGAAAACCCATGGAATGTAAAACACTGAGAGTGAACTGTGATGTGACTCTAGACTCTGGGTGGAAACGGTGGGTCAGCTCAGGTTCATCAGTTGTACCACGTGTACCGCTCTGGTGGGGACGTTGGTAGTGCGCATGTGGGACAGGAGGTGCACCAGAACTCTGTGCTTTCCGCTCAACTTTGCCACAAACTTTGCTGTAAAACTGCTCTACAAAACAAAACACACATTTTTAAAAAATAGGTTTCCCCACTAAACAGAGAAACAGACATCATAGACTTTATGTTACATCACAGTTTCGTCCAACCTCTACCTGTAACACTTAAGACAGTATAAAGAGAACCAAAATTAGTTAAAACCAAAATACTAGAAAAGTAAAGATACCCTAGGGCATCCTAATTCAGCCTGTACTTCCCTTTCTTTCTCCTTCTTGTCACCAATTTTGTCATGTTCTCTGTTGTTCTTTTATTTCCACCACACAACCTGTACATCCAGGAATGGAAAAAAGAAAACAAAAATGAAAATTTTTCACAGGACTCCTAGTATTTACTCTTCCAGTTACTATTGCTGTAAAGCTAGTGTGTAAAACAACCATTTATTATGCAAATGCATTCCAAAGGTTAAAAATTCTGACAGGGCACACTGAGGATGGCTTGTCTCCAATTGGTAATGTAAGGGGCCTCAACTGGCAAGACTTCAAGACTGGGCTGACTCAACCGCTGGGGGCTAGAGCCATTTGGAGGCATTTTTCCTTACAAGTCTGGATGGTGATGCTGGCCATCAGCTGGGACTTCAGCTAACCTACCAGCTGATATACATATTCACGGGTCCTCCCCTGGTCTCTCCACATGGACTAGTCTGGGCGTGGTGACTGTGTTCCAAAAGAGAGCAACCCAAAAGAACAAGAGGGGTGTATGTGACATTTCTATGATCTAGCCTTGGAACTCACATAGTGTCGCTCATAGCATACTCTGTTGTTCAAAGTGGCCGCAGAGGTCTATTCAGGTTCAAGAGAAGGAACATAGACCTAAACCACTGGATAGTAGGTATGTCAGGATTACATCGTAAGTACATATGGAATAAGAGATATTGTTTTTCATATTTTGGGAAATATGCCTCAACAACTTTTGTTATATTTTATTGTATCATAAATATCTAGCTATGTATTGCATTTAAATGTTTGGTTGTTGGATATTGCTCCACATCTTTATTTGTGGTTGTCTATTTCAGACTATCAACCACATGATGGAAGGGACAGCCACATTAGGTTCAGTTTTATGAGCTATAGCATAGTTCCTTGACTTAGCAATCACAGTATATAGTAGTATCACTAGTGCTGCAATTGCTGATAGGTACATGCACCTAAGCCATCATTACTTTTACATGTGTAATGTGTTGCAGAAGATCTCTACACTAGCCAAAAAGACATATAGGATCTGTAATATGCAAGTGAATTTTGTTACAACAATGAGGTCTTGGTTGCTTGAGAGGAGATCTTGAGTTCTTCTTCCAAGTGAATAGATTCCTGTAAAAACAACAATTGAATCTCACAGGTAAGGGGGTGGGGAAATCAATACCTTGAGGGAACTATTTTGTTTTCCTCCTCGATTAGTCACTTTTGGTTTACAAGATTATTAAAAGGTTTAGATGATGAATCTGTGTGAGACCTTCACCGTGAATGTTTTTATCTCTTCTGGAAAGTGAATTAATGAAGTCAATTGTCCCTTTTCAGTTGATTTCATAGGTGGCTTTGATTCTTATGGCTATCAAGGGCCTCAGAAGACATCTCATTTACAACTACAGCCTATGTACATGTAAGTACCTTGGTTGGGAGGCGTCCTTCTGGGATACTGAAAGTGGTTAAACAGTCTCGTGGCACAAAGTAGATGGCATGCAAATTTCCTTCAGTTATATACTTTGGTCTTTTCTCATGTTGTTTTGACTAGGGTAAATTCTAATAACATTTTGTTCATAATTATTTAAAAACCTAATTTTTCACAAATGCTATATCTAAAGTTACCTTTAGTCTTATATAAGTATCAACCACATGGCTAAAAAAAACACCCTATATAATATATTAATTTTTTGAATTATCCAAAAGTTGTATATATTTAAAATGATATAACATTGTAAGTAGTTATATGTAACTGTATAAACCACATGTTTTGGTTTTCTCAGGATAGTCTCAGATTCCATGCTTGTCCTGGTATCAGTATTACCAGCACCCTCCACTACTCTCAACAGTGTTTTCATTTGGATGATGAATGACAGGTTATCACTCTAGTTATACAAAGTGTTAAATGATCAAAAACTGAGCAATACTTTATCATTTTTCTGATGTGAAAAGTGACAATGAAAGAAGCATATTAACACTGAAACTCCTCAGACCCTTAAACTAGCACGCAAGAGAGCAGATATACAATCAGAGCCTGATTTTTATATCTGTGTTTAGGCAAATTCCCTTGGATAACAACTGATAACAAATTCTATATATCAGCATCAAGTGATATGCTGAATTGCAAGCGAAGATCAAAATAGAAAGTAAGATTCCAATTCATTTTGCAATGTGAGCTTCTCTCTTTGAAGATATGTGTTTGTTGTCGTTGTCCTCCACCATTGAACCATTTTACCTTTGAATATTGTTAGTGTGCAGGATGAGAAGTGGATATTTGGAGTATTCCTCCAGAGGGATTAATCTTTATGCATATGTTGTCAGCTTGTTTTTAAAAAGGGAATGATCTGTGCCTGATGCCTCCACTTTTCATCATGCTCCTGGCGGTTCCCTGGAAGCATGTGGCAACACCACTCCCAGACGAGCTTCTATCAGTTCAGACACCAGGCAGTGCCATATGTCACATACAGCATTCCCTCTGTAAACAGTCCATCACCCACCCCCTCTGTACATCCCACAACTGTTGCCCTGCCTCTGGCTTTCATGACTGGAAGTTTTCTGTTTCCCTGTCTATGAACCCCTATCCCATCTTTTCTGTGGCCTCCAAATCAATCTTCCTTAAGTGGTGTGCAGACCATTTTGCTCCCCAGCCCCAAACTGCCCATGACTCCTGCTACTTGCTGAACAAAGTCCACACTCCTTACCATAACCTGGAAGCCTGCTTGTGATCAGGCCCCAAGGTTTTTTTGAAATGTTATCTCTTCTCCTCAACCCTTAGTATTTTTTTAAGTCCCAACCATAAGCAGATGATGTTGGGACACACTCATAAAATGTAATAATAACTAGGAATTGACCCCTGTCCTCCAGAAGCTTGTAATCTGTTGAGGACATCAATGGTCTGATATCTCCCCTTAACTATTTTTTGACAGCCAAACTAGAATTTTTGCTTTCTGCAAATATAACATGTATTTTTCCAATTTTTCGTGATTATCCATGCTGTACTCTTGACACAAGCATCTTTTTTTCCAAATTCCACTCTTTGAGACCCCACTAACTTCTAAATTATACCTTAAAATATAGTTCTTTTGTGAAACATTTATTACTCTCTTTTCCTCCTTAATTCCATTTTTCCACTATACTACAGTTGTATACTATTTATACCATACCTTTCCTATCTTTCCAGATAGACTCAATAGCTTAAACAACAACAACAAAAAAAACATGAAATGATAAATTCTCTAAATACTTTTCCATTCTTCTCAATATTATATTGTAGCCTTATGTAAAGTATTCTATTAAAAAATAAAGACAAATTAATAAGAATAGTGGTTAAGATGACCTACTGAAGATAGATGGGCTGAGATAAAATCCCTTAGGACCTTGGACATGTAACTTTATTTGAACCACTTTATTTATTCTCACCAAGCTTAAGTTTCCTCACCTGAAAAATAGAGATGATAAATATGTCATATAACTACTCTGAATTTATATAAAATAACTCATGTAAAGCATATAAAGCATAGAACATGTCAATAGTAATTGCTTAATAAACATAATTTATTAGTAGTAAGAATAATGCTCATGTTAACTAATATTACTCTTAAAAAGACTTTGTCAAGTCAAAAATTAATATATACTATATTTCATCCCTAAAGGATTTCCTCTGTAAACAATATAACTCATAAACCAGCCCCTGTAGCATGGAAAAATATGTTTGTGTTCGAGAGCAAACCAGGACATCCAGAAAACTTGCAGTTGCTCACTTCTGACAATAGCACATGGCATTTTTAACACACAGCATTTTATTGTGTTGGTCAATAGGAATGATCAATAAAAATCGTCAAGCTGCAATAAATTAGATGTAACCACTTATGTAAGGATCTGCTATACTAATAACATAAGAATACTAATTATGTATAATCAAGTGTATTAGTTCAAATCAAGCATTTATAAATGTTAATATCTTTCAAGGGTGAATTTGGGAAATTTTTTACCCAGCATTAAATTGCTTGAGGACAAAAGTGCCTGTGATTTTATTAAGTAGAATACTTTAAGTGCTAAACCAAAAGTAATAAAAATATTGTTTTCTTCCTTACTTCCAGGGAATAATAAAATTATACGAGCTTTCAAGTCTCACTGTTCATAAAATAAGTTAAATGTTTAATGAAATTCCAATTTAGGAAGTTAGAAATAGAATATACAACAGCACACCAATCGAAATATGACTCCTATCCCTGCCACAGAACATCCCCTAGAGACCTCAAACACTAGAACACTAACATTATTTTACAGATGAGGAAACTGAGTCAAGTGGAAGGAACACAAGGTCCCACAACTTGTCAGTTGTGCAGCTCCAATTATCCAGCCCCCTTAGTTTAGTGTTCTTTCCAAATTCATAGACAGACCGTGGGTTTGCTGAGGCATTACCTTCCCTGATTCTTAATTTAACTTATTTCTACCTCTTCACACTAACTTAGCTGCCATACTTCCATTTGTGCCTGTACCCTCCCTTTTTCTGTTTCTTTTCTTCCCTTTTGATTTCACATTATGCAGTGTTGATGAAGGAGGGCTTTTTCAACTTTGTAGACCTCAAAATCAATCACTGCAGAGCCACTGTCTATTCAAATCCTATGAGAAAAAAAACAGCACTGATTCACACATAAACCTCACCCCCCGCTGAGCAGCAGAGAGCCGAGCGTCTCCTATATCTTAGCCTTCTGGGTGTACCTTCTTCTTCGACCTGCCATAAATAAGTCTCGTAAAGTAAGAGCAATTTAACATCATGGGCCAGTTCACTCACCCTAACAATATTATATAGCACTGCAAGTAAAAGCTGTTCCTTGGAAGGGGAGCAAACGCTTAAAAGCAATGCGCAGTTTTAGCTGAGGGGCTTCCATTGTGCCCAACAAATCTTCCGTGGTGGCGGGGAGCCTGGACGGAGCCCCGAAACACTGCCTGCCTGACTTCCCCTCACAGCCCTGTGCCCTCCTCTCCCGACCCCGCATTGTCATCAATGAATAGACAGTCCTCTTTTTTTTCTTTTATTACATTCTTGGCCTGTAATTCTTCAGATTACCTATAATCCATCGAAAAAGGAAAGTTATTATTTTTTCTTATAATTTGGTAAACCTCTTTGACACCAACAATAGCTGTGAAGTCGCGGCACAGAAACAGTCCCATGGCCACGAGCTCATTTTCTTACAGAGTAGCTGCTAGACCACCACGGACTCTGTGCAGTAACAAGCAGAGATCCGCTGGGGCTCCTGCACTGCCTGTGAGAAAGTCCTACGGACTCTGTGCAGTAACAAGCAGAGATCCGCTGGGGCTCCTGCACTGCCTGTGAGAAAGTCCTACATAGGGCCGTTCGTTAGACGGCATTTGAAAACATTGCATTCTTTCTGGCCGCCTAATTGTACAGCAATACGTATTCGTTTTATTTGTCCCCAGAAATGGATTTCAAATTACTTTAGTAGCTCTCTATCCAGTAAATTACCATAAGTAACCTCTATCTAGAAGGTTACACTGAGAAAAAAGGAGAGGAAAATTGTCTATTTAAAGCACAATTGGGCTTGGACTTTTTGGAGGGGGTGGGGGTAGGCTTTGTTCTTATGCTTAGAAAAGTGAGAAAAGGTGCTGAGCTTTCTCCCTTGATTAAAAACATTCTCTCTCTCTCTTTCTCTCTCTCCTCCCACCCCACCTCCCTCTCTCAGGTCGAAATAATACAGATGGCTTCATAATGTCAGCTCCTGGACCTTACAAAAAACTTGTTTCGCAGTGGCCTCCTGCATTTTATGAAGAGCAAGAAGCAATGAGTTTAAATATATACACATATAAACAGACCAAACACAAAGTCTCACATCCACTAGGACACAATGCACAAACACGCACTGAGGCACACACCGATTCCACCTGGTCTCCTCTTTCTAACCAAAACAGACAAACATGCAGGACATGCCCATCCTGGATTTCCTGAAAGCAGGCTTCTTTCACCCAGGCCTTTGGAAAGTTCAAAAGGAGACGTGCTGGTGCCATCTGCTGGCCATCACTAACTAACTCCTCTGCAACTCAGCCCCTGGGCCTCTGCAAGCTGGGAACTCATCCAGGGCCCGGTAGCTTCAGAGTCCTGCCTCCTGCACCCCATACGTCTTGATAGCGCCACTGCTATGTAGGCAATGAAATTGCAAAAACAAACACACACAACCTGCTGTGATGACCTTGTAACCCAAGTCTGAAATGGCAGGTTGTTTGCCCTAAAGGCTGTACCGTATATACTTGCCTTAACCCACCTAAGTTGTGCGCCCAAGAATCTCAGTGCAGACATCCCCAAGTCACTTCCTTTAGGCTAACACACTGCTGTTAATTCCGAATGAGTTCGAGTCTCATGTGTTTTATGTCAAGAAACAACACCGAATAGCCCAGCAACTCCCGTGTGTCTGTGTATGAAAACTGCCAGCTGTCAGCAAAGTGCTTTACCATTGAGCCTCCACGGTGGCCAAAAAGAGACAAGTAACAATAATAGCAACAACAATAATCGTCATCTTTATAGTTCTTAAATATCGTCTTCGGATGGGGTTGGGTGGGACAAAGGAAAACTTAACAATCTACTAAAGTCAATCTACTGGAAGCAGAAAGCAGAAACGGCATAACACTGATTTTATTTATCGCACTCTAGGTGCTTTTATAAGTAACTACAAATGTCTTTTACTAACACAGAAACAGCTGTGGATTTCTATCAACTGAGGCCAACTGAATATGTATTAGCTATGTTTACTCTTTTATATCTAATTCCAATGGGAGACCCTATGTAGGTGACCTTTTTTTCCTAACTTCAGCGTATGAGATTATTTTTGGGGCGGGCGGGGGGACCAATAGTTACCTTGGTGAAATCTTTGAGATCTCTCTGTGATGGTCGGGGGGTCCGTTGTGTGTTAGAGTGTATTTTACTCCTCCTGTATTATTGTGGCAGAAAAACTGTGCTGTTAACGTAGTTGGCAACAAGATGCCTTTGAAAACTTAATAGTAGGTCAATGTGTTTATGGAATATTCTGAAATTCTAGGAAATTTTGTTCTATATATTCAAGCATTATTTGGTTTTCATTAGTGGAAAACATAATTAGCTCAGGCTTGTCAGGAACTCAGATGAGACATGTTTTTTTCTTGGAGTCACCTGAGACATTAAAATCAGTTTTTTAAATGAATATGCCATCTTTAAATGCAGTGAAATTCAGACTTGAAAAGTCATACATTGTCAAGGAGCAACTTTTTCTCTTGGTTTCCATGAAGTTTCAGTTACCGGGTTAACCTACTTTGGTCCTTATCCCATCCAGAACTACATAAACCAGTCCTATTACTGTGTTGCATGGATATTTATGAAATACACACATATACATTTGAAAATGATACAGGAACAAAGGTTACTATTGGAACATGAGCTACAAAGAAAGATTCCAACTCTTGTGCTTGAATTTTCTCAGTGGCTTGTGTATATTTGTCCATACATACATATATAAAACACACAATTACAGACATGTCAGTGAAACCTCATCTAATGATTTTATAGTGACATGCATGTTTAATATATGAGAAAAATATTTACCAATGTATTGTCCTTTGATTCGTAAAATAGAAATACTATACATGGCAGAACTTACTCTAATGTAATGTAAAATACTATTAATGTATTTTAAAATGAGGTTTCACTGTACGTTCATACTGTGATCAGAGCCCACCTTCTAGGACATGTAAATGGATTGGAATTGAGATGCACAGAGCATACGCCCTCATACTCCAGCTTTAAGTTACAGCCATTATACCACCTAATCACCACTATCATCACCACCAAAATTTTCAAAAACAGTTGTTGACTACTAAGAAGTAATCAGTGGACAGGTCATTTTTGGGAGCAGTGAGCACAGTAGTGTGATTCTATCTGGAAAAACATCTCAGTTGTACAGCTGTATCGTCCTCAAAATCTGGTGAAGAATGCTATTTTTCTAGGCTGAGCTTTTGTTACAAACCTAATATTCAGAAGGCAAGAGTTACAATCCTGATGTGTCTTTTTCCTTTCTTTTTTTGCGTTTGTTAATTCTGAATGTATTTTTAACAGAGTGATTTTTTTGACTTACTAGTGTAATTTGCATTTTAAAAATAAATGGAAAAACAATTAAGTTTCAGAGCCGTCCCTGAAAGCCGCTGCTCCTTCTCACATTGAACTTGACTGTGTCATTGGCAGGAAAAACCTTTGAACTTCATATAAAGGCAGTGCTGATACCTGTCATGTGCCCTGCAGGGATGTGTCTGAAGTAAAAGAAAATGCCAGGTCACAGACCATTTTAGCTCAGTCATATAGGTAACATGTGTTTTCATTATCACCTGTCACTAACTTTTTTTTAAAATACTGCCTGGAATAGACTTGTCATCATGCGGAAAGCTTCCCCCCCACTTCTATCTAGAATTTAGAGTTAGCATCAGGCTATTACCTGCCAGAGGTGTTAGGGCACTATATTAAAAACCTTTGGTTAACATAGGTAGGGGTTTTTTTAATTTATGTACGTTTTTGTACACAAATAATTTCAAATAGCTTAAAATGTTTATTTATTGCCAATTTGGTGACATAGACTTTGATAGCTAGCTCTTCTACTGAAGCATGTTGGGGTAGGATAAACAGTAGAAAAGGTTAACCCCTTGTGGGAGTAGGGGTGGGCTGGATGGGGAAGGGCAAAGAGGGGAAAATTGGGACAACTGTAATAGATAACAATACATTTTTAAAAAGAAAAATGAAAGGTTAACCCCTGGCATTTGTGATCGTCTAACAGTAATTTTTGCTGAGGTTCACTGTCTAGGCTACAGGGACAGAGGCAGCTGATTCGGGCTGCTGGTGGGGATGGGGGGTGTTCTTTCTCTCACTGTACAGACACCCCAGACACACAAGTGCCCACATTGACTGAAAGCAAGGAAAGCTTTGAGACAGCATTTCAAGAAGCTGAAGATCAACTTGCATGTAGTACCTAACTTATCAGCCACATGGTGAGAGCCTTGTAAAGACCAAGCCTGTTTGTACTTTTGCTCCCTGTGTGAAAAGCATGCTGATGCATGTTTGTAGAAGTAGGAGTGACTGTCAGGTTGTTGCTTCACGCTGTGAGGTCAAATACACACAACATCTCAGTGGACTAAAAAGAGACAAAAGTTATTAGAACAACTATACACACACACACACACACACACACACACACACACACACATATACATACACCCTAAAGGAAAGATTCCTTCTTCTGGAGTTCTCAGTTAGTGTTTGCACTTGGTAAGTAAACACTACCAAGACCTTTATTTGGTGGGATTATTAGAAAACATGATCCCTGATACAGTGAGGCAAATATACAATTTCCACTCTACTATAATAACTGAAGCACTTAAACTCAGAAATAGAAATCCATTTTATATAAGACATATCGTAAAACAAACTTTTGAGAGCCAACCGATTTATTATAGAGACAATAAACTAAGGCCCATAGATGTTATGAAATTACTCAAGGTTACCACGTTTCTTGAAAATGCAAGTAGCTCACTATTCTACAACAATCCTACAATATGTTTACTCTGGTCAGAATAGAGTAAAACAAATCCCAGACACTGTCCACTGACCCTGGACTGTGTAAAATAGAATGAACCCTGATAAAGAAGACTCTGAGATAGTATAAGATCATAAAATGCTTCTGAATTATTGTGTACTAGGTTCAGCATAGTCTCAACATTAAATATGTGTTGTTATGTTATAGTTTTTTAAAAAAGTAATAGCATATCCATATGTAAATATACTCATATATATGTTCCACATTAGGCAACTAATTATGTTTGCTTTCATGGGTAGAAATTTTCTAGCATTTCTTTCATATCACATTTCTGAATAGTTAATATTAGACACATTAAGATTACTGCAACATCCGCATCTTGAATACTTCCTGTGATTCTGAAGAGAATCTTCCCTCAGACGTTTTGCCTGTCTAAGGTAAATCTTCAACACTCAGCACTTCTACTCAGGAAGCTTTGATATGAAGATCCTTACATCATAAAAAAAAATAAGCCTCAGTTATTCCCCTCACATGCAAATCTTTGCTTCGGATTCATGTTCAATTCTCTTTTCACTGTACCACATCTGCCTTCCACCTACTGGGAAGAAAGGAAAGAACAAAATCTGTGATTGATATATTGTGTCCAATTTCAAACATACAGTATCCTGAAACAATCACTCTGAGAGCAAAATCTCTAAGACATTTATGCGCTCTATGGCTTTTAAATTGACAACATATGAACGAGATGGTACATTCAAGGGTCTCACGTACCACTGAAACCTGCCCAAGTGTCATGCGATGTGACTGCCAGTGACAATAAAGGAAACAAAGGTGAGTTCCTCCTAAAAGAGATAAAAGCCTATCTGTTTACATTCTTTCGAATTTTAGAAAAGGTTGGACTTTTAAATCCTTAAACATTAAGGAGTTTAGGAACAAATGAGCTTAAAATGTTGACGGGCAATGGAAGTTGATTTCTGTAAGATAAATTCAGAGAGGAGCTCCATGTGGATGCTCTGACTCAGTCTAAATCATTACTAAAACTAATGTAAGCCTTCTCTGTAATGAGAGCACAGAATTGTGGCATCTTAGTAATAAAACAAGTATATTTTTTTAACCTCTCATTCTACCCTCAGATGAATTTAAGCTATAACTGCAATGGAATAAAACAACTCCCCAAAAGATTGCAAATTGATGCTGTCACCCCAAGGATGATGGATTGATTCAATTAATCAGTAAGTCTTTTCTAAGAGTCCTTCAGGGAGTTATTTACCAGAGGCATACCCTGTTTATTCCTCTCCCGTGTGCCTGTCATTTTTCTTCATTATTCTTCTGGTTTTATCCGTTATATCCTTTGGGGATATGTCGATCTCTATGTGCAGAGAGGTTTGGCACACAGCTGTCTAGACATAAATCTTCCAAGCCTCAAACTGGAGGCCACCAGAACACCTGTGCCTCTTGTCATTGTTATCTGAGGCTGAGCAAGGCTCTCTCAGGGTGCAGTCAGGCGAATGGAAACCGAGTTACAAATGATAAGTCACTGGGAAAGTATCACACTGAGTGAAGACTATGAAAAATCCTCCATTGGTAAAGAGATAACAGCTTGTGCTCCACATGCTGTGGAAGAGGCCTTCCCTTCTCTAGCAGCAGGTAGGTGGGGAAGAGGCAGAGGACCGCCAGGCCAGGGGCCTGCGCTTGGATTCATGGAAAAATGAAACATAGTCGGGGATTGTGTTCTTTTGAGTGATGGAAGGTAAATATTCTTAAACAAGAAATATTTCCATTTCTAGTGCATGATCATCTGTCAGTTCGAGTTGCTGAGAGCACAGATTTAGGAGGAAGATGTCTGTCTCACCTCAGAGGTCAGTCTTGCCATCAGGGTTGACTACATGGGGTGTGGGCCCCCTGCAAAATGACAACGTGGGGCCCCTGTTCAAACATTACCTTTGTTAACAGCACTACATACAAAGGTTTTCCTTTAAAACTATTTTATCTTCAGTCAATATAAATGACTATGGTATCAGACATTCCTGGCAAATATATCAAAACTGATTTTTTAATAATTTTTAATTTTGAGAAGAATCTTCCTGTTAATGCAACTGTTACTAGGGCTATAAAGAATATTTTTATTTTATAAATGATCCCAGAACTAGGATAAATGTCTGATAAATTATTTTGAAATACAAATTTTTGTCATTTGAGTTAATGGTTCACAGAATAATTTTTCTAAAAAGATTTAAATCTCCATAAAAGTTTCATAAAAGTCTGAATTTAATATTAAATAAAAATTATATAGTAGCAATTTAGCATTTTCTGTGCCATTTCCTACAACTTGTAGAAGTTGTTTGAGAAGCCAAAGTGGCTTCATGATTTCTATATAATTGAAAATACTTGTATACACAAGTCTATTGCTGTATCTTCAATTACAAGAAAAATACTTTTAAAATTGCCTTTCTCGTTAATAATTTGTTCATCTGAAGTATCATGTGAAAATGGTTCTTTTCAGCATTACTGCTAATGCTACAATCTTTAAGTTTTATTTCTATGTGTAAGTCTATGGATATTTGTTTTCAAAACCAGAGACTCTAAACTCTGAATAATTTTAATAACAATTCTAATAACTTTGATATGCTCTGTGGCAATGTCCACATGTATGCTTTTATCTTGTAACAACTTCCTGGCAAAGTTACTGCATAAGCACCAGTGGCTCTTGTCCCATCCCACAGTTAATCGGTAGATGGAAGCTTCAGGGACTGGCCCTCTGGGGAGTGAATGGACAGACTGGCCTCCCACAGTTTCCAGGGCTGCCCAGGGCCCTTGCTTTCCCCCAGGGCACAGCTGCCAGTTCTGCCTCCCATTGCTGTTGCCACTGTCACCACTGCCAATCTGATCCCAGGCCTTTCTGCCAGCTCAGTGGCTCCCCTGACTGCCCTGAGGCAAACCAGGCCAATTGCTCAGCAAGCTACTTGCTGCACCTGGGGGCTGAGCCACTGTCAGCTGGTATTGATGCTGGATCACAAACACTCACAAGGGCTGTCCCTCCAGGGCATCTCCTCTGCTTCCCACATGCTCAAAAATGACATATTAAGAATTTCATGAAGACGATAGTAGAGCATTAAGCCAAACACTGGGCTCCTCTGAGCATGGGGACCATTGTGTGATAACACACGTCATATGGTTGTGAAGCCAGCCCTGCTTGCTACACAAGCCAGGAGTAAAACACTCTTCTGTCCCTACCCCAACTTCAAGCTCACCCCCATTTTGTTACTGGAATAAAATCACTGTATTAGTTTCCTATTGCTGCCGTAACAGATTACCACAGCTTGGTGATTAAAAAATCACAAAAACTTATTAAGATAATCTTATGGAAATCAGGAGTCCAAAATGGGTTTCACTAGGCTAAAATCAAGGTGTCAGCAGGATTTTGTTCTTTCTGGAGGCTCCAGAGAAGAATCCATTTCTTTGCCTTTTCTGGATTCTGGAGGCTGCCTGCATTCCTCAGCCAGAGACCCCTTTGTCCATCTTCCAAGTCAGAAGTGTGGCACCTTCAAATCT